GTGGATCAGGTGCAGAATGCCGTGGTTTGAATGTGTATCAGATGTTGCCAATGTAATAATATTAAGAGGTGGGCCCTTTAAGAGGTGATTAGGCCATGAGGGCTGTTCCATCATGAATGGGATTAGGACCCTTATAAAAGAGGCTTCATGTAGCCTTTGGCTAGCTTGCCCTTCTGCCCTCCTTGGAACCAAAGAGGTACCCTCACCAGACAACCAAACTGGCCAGTGCCTTGATCTTGGACTTCCTGCTCCCTAGAACTGCAAGAAAATAAATTTCTGGCTTTTGTAAATTACCCAGTCTCACATACTTTGTTATAGCAGCACAAATGAACTGAGACACATTCCATAGCAATTAAGCTATTATTTTTGGTTACATGGAAAAACATTCCTGGGATAAAATGGTGCTTGCTTCTTCCATAATTTATATGATATGTTTAGACAGCACAGTTACTCAACCCTTGTTAAGCAAAAGATGCTGGTGATATATGTCAAGTTATCTTTGGAAAATAAACACTATTAAGCTCTATGCCAGCACACTATCAAGAACAGAAGATGGAAATTCTTCAATTAGCCTAACTTCTTCCAGAGTGTGTAAATAGCCTTACCTTCCTTCTAGGAAATTTGTGGGATGGAGAACGATTACGTTCTAAGCACTGCCTTTAGAAATTTAGTGTTGAAGAGAATTGTGCCAGTCACTCAAATAATACAGCAATAATAGAACATTATAATATAGAATTTTTAATACTAATAAAAGAGTAATAATATAATACTCTAATACTGCATTTTTTGAATCTAAAAGATACCCTCAAAGTGTGATAAGAATTCAGTGGGTGGAGAAGTCTTTCAAGAGGGCAATAATGAAAGAATCTTGATGACTTTGTCATTGAAAGATTTCAAAAGGCTACCCTGAGGACAGTTGTTCAATTTTGAGGGAATGGATGGAAGAGGCAGAGGCTGGAAAATAACAGAAAATGTGATATCAGTTTAATAGAAACAACTAAAAGAATGAAAGCGTTAGGCAGGAGTATAAATACACGAAGTAAAATGGTGGGAGGTAAAGCTGGAAAAGAGGGTTGGGGTTAATTTATGGAGGGACTTGACTGTCAGGCTAAAGAATTTGATATATTTTAGTAGGCAACAACAGGTCTTTGAAAACTTCTGTATAGAAAATTGACATAGTAAGAAATGTGCATTTGGAAACATTCTGGTACTGGTGTATAATACAGAAGAAAAAACTGGACATTGGGGGACTGTTGGCAGGCTGCTGTAGTGGACCTGGCTTGCAGCACAGAGGGCCAGAATTATGTGGTTATTGGGAAAGGGAAGGAGAGACATACCTTAGTAGCAAGGAGGCTTTAGCATATGTATGTCCTGCTAACTGATTTGAACGTTTGGAGCAAGGAATTTGAACAATCAATGATAACTTTGAGATTTCAAGGCTGAAGTATAGTAGAAGAATGGTTGCACTATTATCACATATGATGGAGTCAGCAGGAGAAGCAGGTTTGGAAGATAGGATGAAAAGTTTGATTTTGATTATTGTGTTATGGGGAGGGTGTAGATTAAAACCAAAAAGGTTTATTTATTGGTCACTCTGCATGTCTAAACAGATCATTAGGGACATTTCTCCTCCATGAAGTCACTCTGGACTTCTAATTTTTAATACTTTAAAATTTATAATAATTAAAAATTAAAATCAGATGCTTCTATTACTTTGGAGTGTGCTTTGTGGAGAGAGAGGACCTCTTTTTTTTTTTTGTTTTTTTGCCTCCACTGGTGCCTCTCCTTGTGTCAATGAAGTTGAGAGTCTGGCATGCCGTCTGCACAACGGCTGTGACTGCTACTATAGAGACTAGCCACTTTTACGGCAGCCATGGCAATTGAGGTGGCTATGGTTGGCTACCCACGTGGAAATGATGTTTTTGGTGTGCTCTTTACCTGGTTAGGACTGGGTTCAGCTTCCCCTGGCTCCATACCTAAGGATCCCGGCAGGGCCCAGGGGTGGTGGCAGAAGCTTGCCTAGTTGCAACTGGGTTTGGCTGCTCCTGGCTGCATGCCTCAGGACCCCGGTGGAACTGAAAAATTTTGCATAGACTTTTTACGTACTGCATCAGCCCGGAAGTGACACACATCATTTCTGCTCATATTTCATGGGCCATAGGGCCCCACCTGAATACAAGGGGCTGAAAACTAATCTCTTTTATGCTCAGGGAGGTGAGGATATTGGTGAACACTAATAACATCTACTACAGATGCATGGACTGTAAGTAAAATGAATCTTTCCATAGCTTTGAATATTGTGTATGTAAAAGAGAGAATAAAGAGTAGGAAAAGAATACTTTGTCCTACCTTATATGAAAAGCCCCGCTCTGTACTCAGGCTCTGCATTAGTCAAAAGAACTTTGGACCTATAGGGCTTTTCTACTCTTAACCAAAAGGCATTTTTTAATCATATAATATTGCCTGGTAATGATATATAGGATGCAGAGAAGCAAGAGGCTCATTGCATAATGTCCTCTCAAAATGCTCGAGAGAATTTCTAGAAGTTTTTATTTTTATTTTTATTTTTTTATTTTTTTTTAAAAGATGACCGGTAAGGGGATCTTAACCCTTGACTTGGTGTTGTCAGCACCACACTCTCCCAAGTGAGCCACGGGCTGGCCCTTCTAGAAGTTTTATATGTGGTATTACTAAATAAATTCTTTGTTCTGACTCTGTATGCAACATGGAACATAGAGAAATCATTTGTATTTCTAAATGTTCAATAAAATATACTGTGTGGCACGTATATAAGTACTTGGAAGCTTAACTCACTGTTAGGTACATGATTTCATGCATCACAGACACAATGAGAAAGGTTGGGATAAATTTAGTCACTGAAATCTGACTGTTGGTATTTTCTTTTTTTGTTTGTTTGTTTTTTGTTTTTTGTTTTTTTTCCTTTTTGTCTTTTTTCGTGACCGGCAACGGATCGCAACCGTCAGTGTTGCGCCCGTACCATACCGGGACCAGCAACAGGATCAATCGCAACCCTTGGTGTGGCGCCCGCACCTCGCTCAGCCAGTGGGCGGCCGGTCTGTATGTGGGATCCGAACCCTCGGCGGGAGCGCCGCCGTGCTCCCAAGCGGTGCACTGTAGCAGTGCGCCACCGGGCCGGCCCACTGTTGGTATTTTCAATTACATTAATCAAGTTACACTCATTATTGTTATCACACGATAATTGTGAGAAACCAAGGAAGGTATTCAGTAGGCTCTGTGACAGTAAGGCATTCTCAACTATGTACTTGGATTCCCTACTAACTACAAATACCAACGTAACTAAGGAAATAATGCTGAATTTGGTTAAGTATTTCACTTTGATAAGAAATTAAATTAATAAACTTTAAAATAAAATCTTCTAGTAAAATCTGCTATATCAATGTAATAACTTCTTTTCATTAATTTCCCAGTTTTAAGTTATATAGTCACCCAAACTATGTTCTAATCCTTAGCACCGAAGGTTGTTGGGTTATTACACGTAATTCTTGTTTTATTCTGGAAATTGTGTTCTACCATATGCAATGTCCTTGAACATCATATGCACTCACTAAAATTTTGTTAACACTTGAAAGATAGATTGGGGAATTGAAATAAATTTTAAGGCTAAATAACATAACTATATATAAAATTTATAAACCTACATATAATATTTATGTTTTATTAAAGGTTACATATTATAGCATAAATTATATATTATGTTATATATATGATATTTATATTAGAGAGATGTGATATACAATAAAGCTTTATTTAGACTATTGTGAGAAAATTTTTAAATAAGTAAGTTTAAGAGATTGTAATTTAATTGTACCTTATTCCATTTGAAATGTTGGGTTTGAGTCCACTTTGAAAGGCCAATAGTTGAACATGACAAATAGAAATTTATATGATCACTTTTTATTTCAATATGCAATTATGGCATAAAATTAATTGTAAATATATTTCCTGTCTCTAATCACAACAATAAAAACCTGTATAATTTGGTAATATAAGGCACACTTCATAAGGGGAAATTTTAATGTAGAAATCAAGTCAACAAGCCAAATTCTCACCAAGATTGAGATGCCTTTAAAAAAAAAAAACAAACCCGCAAGTTGAGTGCCTTTAGAAATGGCATAATGCAGCATGATAGTGGGTTATATGAATTAATGCTACTTCCAAAGGTGACTAACTCATTCATCTCATGTCCAGTGCTGCAGTTTCCAGGCAAAAAAGTGCATCACACACCTAACCTCTGCCAGAAACATTCAATTAGTTTAACAAAGAAAATAAGTTGCTATACAGCATATAGTTTCCAGATGTCTGTGGTCTTGTAATTGATTATGTGATTAATGGAACACAAGTTGCTTTTGCAATACTCTGCATAAGAATATGACAGAGGTTTGCTGAAAGCCACGTAAACAGAATAAGTGTGTATACATTTAATAAAAGTTCACTGCTGATGATGCACAATGAAGCCCTCATCGACATGCACACAGTGTGTTTTTACATTTTCAAATAACCTCTTAGTACCAGCAAGTTTAACAAATAATAGAATTTTTTAAAATATTTTTACTGAGTAGGAAAAGGATTTTATTTATTTGTTTTTAAAACAAATATCTCTTTTCAGAAATCCAGTGCAAAAAATGGATTTCTTAACAAAGATACTTTAATTGCTGGTTTTCGAATATTCAGAATGATAACTTTACTATTAGCTGTTTACAATTCACCAGGTTTCAAACTACCATTTTCCTCTTTGTTTTGAAACAGGTCATAAAAATATAGGCCAAAAAAAATGACTTTTTAATGTTTTGAAATAAAAATCTACTGCAAAAATTTTCATTTTTAAAGACGTTGCCTCTTTATTATGGAACCTTAATTAATATTAAATTTAAAATAATTTTAAACATGACAATGTATATGTACTGGTGACAAACACGGGACACACAGACTCATATAGCCACACTAGAAATGAAAAAGGCAACGTTAAATTATACAGAAAATCTCTCGAGTATTTATACATAAAGCAATGAAAAGTGTAGAGGGACGTTGACCTCTAAAGGGGTGAGTAATTCAGCGGTTCTCTCTTTAAAACCTCAGCTGCATTCCTCTTGCCATATGTGCTGGATCCCACATTGGTAGGTGAGAGAACAGCACCAAGGTTGTTGCCGGAACGAATTAAAAAATTTGCCAGGCGTTGCGTCGCACATGTGGCAGTGTTGCATTTCCGTTTTTCCACCTGATGACTGGTAGCATTGAACAAATATGAAAGGTTAGAGACTTCAAATTGGGGTTGGATACAGCCATGTGACACCAGATATCTCATACTGATGAAAACTGAAGGAAATATTTTCACATAAGCAGCTCAGTGTTTTGTTTGCAAACATCTGGATGACAGATTTTTTTTGACACTTTGAAGATCCTAGAGAGTCAATTTTTGACTGGGAAATCATAAAATCTTCCATTATAGCCAATGTTGTATTTCCCAGTATAATTCTTTGTTTGAAAATCCAGAAAATATTCCAGATGATAATAATAATAATAATAATAATAATAATAATAATAATAATAAAAAAGATGACTTTGTCTTATATTCTTCTAAATCTTGTTGATGAATTTATTTTCCTGTATATAAAAAGGATTTAGAATTTAAAATTTATATGTAACCTAAGATATGTGGTAATTTAAAAAAATTATTTCCCATATCTTTCAAACAAAAATTAACCAGTATTAGTTGATTTTTGTTGAATTCATTGAGATCAATGAACGTTAAGAAAAAAGTCTCAGAAGGAAATTCTGCAATATGCAATAACATGGATGAACCCCGAGGACATTATGCTAAGTGAAATAAGCCAGTCACAGAAGGACAAATATTGTGATTCAGCTTATACGAAGTATCTAAAATAGTCAAATTCGTGAATCGAAGAGTGGAATGGTGATTACCAGGGGCTGAAAAGGGGAAAATGGGGAGTAATTAACTAATAGACATAAAGTTTCAATTAAGCAAGACTAATGAGCTCTAGAGATCTGCTGTGCAACGTTGTGCCTATAATCAACCATAATGTAATATACACTTAAAAATTAAGAGGGCAGATCTCATGTTAAGTGTTCTTACCACAATAAAATAAAATATAATAAAATAAAAAAGAGACAGAATGTCAGTATTATAAAGTCTCAAGGGGAGTCAAATTTATCACTGCTAACTGTTGCAGTGTGGGAGTTTTTCTTACTCTTGGCATAAATACATAAACATTACCATCTTCCTGCCACCTACTTGGATCCTGTGCTTTCAACAATTTTAGTGAGAGGACTCAGTTAAATGTTAAAACCAAAAAATTTTTTATGTCCGTGGTATTAATATTCATCACATTTGTTTTAGCCACTGGAACAACTGCAGAGTGATATTATAGATAAGTCAATCATAAATCATACCATAATTAAATAACTCATTTGAATTTTAACTTATGTTTTCATTTTAAAAATTTATTTGCATCAACTCTATATTTTTGTATCACCTTTTGTTTTAATGTGTTTTCAAAATGATATTGGAAATGGATACAGAATAATAACATTGCTTCCTCTTTGCTAATTATTAGGAAATTTAGGGAAATGTTTTAGTTTTCATCTTTTTTTTTTTTTTTTTGGTGACTGGCCAGTACTGGGATCCAAACCCTCAACCTTGGTGTTAGCAACACTGTGCTCTAACTGACTGAGCTAACTGGCCAGCCTTTAGTTTTCATCTTCATAGAAATCAAAATATTGGTGAAACTTAAGAAGAGTGGAAAGTGATAGTTATGGGGCTGAAAACTCAATGTCCAGAGCCAGTTACTAAACATAATTTGGGGCTAAATGCAATAGGTGTGTCTAAGTTTAAGTGCTTAAAAACTTTAATTTGTCCCTTGATTATTTCTGTACATTTAAACTTCTGGAGGGAGATGTGAAAGTTTTAGGTATTTCTGGAGCCCTTTGTGTAAGAAATAGTCTAAGAGTAAATGTTTAAAAATTTCATGGGAAACTATTTTTCTTTTTACTATTATACTCGCATGTTTTCTCCCAGTACAGAAAACTCTTCATACAGCATCAGGTGAACTGGAAATCTGTTAAGCGTAACAAGTATCCAATTACTGAGACACCAATCATTCAGGAAAAGAAAACCCACTCTGGGACCTAACTATTCATTTGATATCAATCTTATTCACACTATCTGTTCAGTTATTTCTCTTTGAAGGTGTAGTAGCCATGACCTAAGAGCATTTCAAATTAATGATTTAATGCTTTTATGAGTTGAACCAGTAATTTCATACATTGGACATTAAATTCTAAAAGACGAACTTTTCCCAAAAAATAGTAAAAATTGGAATTTGTCCTAAACACCTCAAACTAATAAATTTAAAGCAATAAAGGAAATTATGGGTCAAACTGGGAAGGTTCAAAGGGAGTATCTGCCCCAACCTGTGTTTGGCAAATAACTAGAACAGAGTAAAATATACAACATGCTAAATTCTGAGCGGTACTTTGATAATGGGCTGGAAGGTCAATAATGGGTCAAAAATTATTCTAAATTAAATGTTATTTTATTTGAATTAGCTAGAAAGGCCATCATTCTACTTAAAAGAAATAGTAAGAGCTTTTATATTTGTTTCGTAATTGTGAAAGTGCTTTCCTAAACAAAACTTTTCACTTAAATATACTATTCAGCATGTACAGATTCTATCCAAAACAATCATTAGGATGGAAAAAGATGGCTGAAATGGTTGGTGAAGGGCATCACACCCTCACTACCAGGCATTTTCCCTGAGCAGACAAGGCCTATCTGCCTACCTAGCTAGTAACAAACACTAAAGCTGCTGACCACTTACAGGCACATACACACATAAAAATTCTTGACTTTAAGAGAGTTTAAGCAGGGCTGGCCCGGTGGCGCACTGGATAAGTGCGCCGCTTGGGAAGTGCGGCCGCGCTCCCGCCCGAGGGTTCGGATCCCACATACAGACCGGTTCCGCACCGAGGGTTGCAATCCCGTTGCCGGTCCCCGGTCCGGTACGGGGGCAACACTGAGGGTTGCGATCCGTTGCCGGACATGGAAAAAGACAAAAAAAAAAAAAAAAAGAGAGTTTAAGCAGCGATAGTGATAAGCCGAACTTTAACTCTTAAATTGTCTTTCTTTAAAAATGTCTCAGTTTCAAGGACTTAAAAAATGGTTTTAAAATGGGTCCCTGCTCCATGTCTTAATATTGATCTGTGGAGGCACACAAGCTCCTGTAGGGAGCTCCTAGTGATTATAGCTTGGCACCTATGTAATTATATTTTTGACTGCCCTCTGGTTACCTGACAGACGAATATTTACAACAGAATGTTAAAAAGTTGGTGGGAAAGTGTATGATGCTTTTGCCTTAGTCAGGAGTATGAAGTAATGTTAACTATTTCTTGGAATGATTTGTGAAGTCAGTTTGTTACCTCTTAATTGCATCTCACACATGTACAAAAGTTGAAAAAAAACTCAAATGAGGTGATTAAATTTCATGAGGAAAATGACACTTAATAATGAATTTACATTAGCTTTATTTTTTTAAAAGGAGTTTAAAATTGGAGCANGAAATTACTACCTTTTTGTTTTTCCTGCTTCATGTTCTGGCTTTGCCCCTCTAAGTTCCAACAGCATATTTCTTGACAAAACTGGACATATCCACTCCTGTCTGTCAGAAGTTTCATCAGACAGATTGATCAGCCACTGGCATTATTCTTTAAAGAATACAGAATTCAAGGAGCAACTAAACAGCTTACAGTACTGTTCTTAAGCATGATTTAATCAGAAATCTAATGGCACAGGGGCTGTTAGTTATGTAGTCGTATTTCTAATTTTTCCATATTTTACAAAAGAAACAGGATTTCAAATTTACTAACCTTTCAATAGGTGTAGCTTTCAGATAGTTTAATGCAATAGAGAGCACAATAAGAACTACTGGCAGCTTCAGGATGCACATTGCTTCTCAAATTTTCTGAAAAGAATAATACAGCACTGAAATAAAAAAAAATTTATAGTTCTGATCGATGTCATTTTAAGTTAGAGCCTAATTTTAAAAAGGATTTAAAAACATAATTTACAAACATCATAATTTTTATTGGTATAATTCCTTAATACTGTTCAAACAATTTTCAAGTATTTTCAAAATTTTCACCTTCCCAATTTCCTTCTCTAAAACTTCTGGAAAATTGATATTACAATTCATTATCCCTTTAGCCTTTCTTTGAAATAAACCATATATTTAACACCAAGTCTACTTTTTTTTNGACACTTAATAATGAATTTACATTAGCTTTATTTTTTTAAAAGGAGTTTAAAATTGGAGCAATTGTCTACATAGCTTTTCTTAGTTTTATGAGATTTAAAGAATGTTACATGTTTCAACATCTCTTTCATAAATGACCAAATATACTGATTTCAGGAAACACATTAAAAAGCAATTTGAAGAATGTTTTGTAAGTATTTCTACTAACAACTCAAAGTAAAAGATTGTGAGATTAGCATGAAAATAATTTTATAATAAAAAAGTTATGTATTATTTTATTTCTTAATGAAATTGACCTCATAATAAGCAAACATCATATATGGGTAGGTGCTTAGCAAATGTCCGTTTGTAATAAAAGAAAAGATCAAGATGTAGACAGACATACTAGGTAATACTGCTAATTTTCCTGTCATTCAATTGTTCTGCTTATTGGAAACTTCGTGTCAGTTTTAAAGTAATTTTTACCCATGAAAAAGCCAATTGAAAATTACAGTCAGTTCCGAGAACATTCTGTAAACTAGATAAGCTCTGAAATGACAAAAAAGATGTTTTGATGATTCCTGCTATTTATTATACGTAGGTACTTTAGAAATCTTTACATACTGCCATGGGCCTCCACCCCTACAAAAAACACCCTGAGGGAAAACAAAGACAAAGTGATGATAATTCTAATGAGAAGAGTTCTAATATGACTAAATCACACTCTTTTCAAAGGTAAACTTTATTCTCCCTGGCCTTAAAGAGTATATAAATTTAGTCCCATAAGACTATATGGAGCAAAACTGATTTAGGCACAAACAACTTCTCATTATATTATTTACAATATGTGCATGGATTTGAATGTAAGGATATTTTAAATAAATGGAGAATTACAGTTGTAAACGGTTTCCATGTTACCACTAACAGTTTCACCTGACATAGTTTTTAGACTTC